TAACACATATATATGGAATTTAGAAAGATGGTAATGATAACCCTATATGCAAAACAGAAAAAGAGACACAGATGTACAGAACAGACTTTTGGACTCTGTGGGAGAAGGCGAGGGTGGGATGTTTCGAGAGAACAGCATGTATATTATCTATAGTGAAACAGATCACCAGCCCAGGTTGGATGCATGAGACAAGTGCTCGGGCCTGGTGCACTGGGAAGACCCAGAGGAATCGGGTGGAGAGGGAGGTGGGAGGGGGGATCAGGATGGGGAATACATGTAACTCCATGGCTGATTCATGTCAATGTATGACAAAAACCACTACGATATTGTAAAGTAACTAGCCTCCAACTAATAAAAATAAATGGAAAAAAAAAAGAATCTGGATTTAGTCAATTCATCCAGAGATGAGGGACAGCCCTCCAGCAAAGACTCCAAAGATGTCTTATGATCAGCCAGACATTTCTGGAAGAATGACTAGTAACTGCCATTTGTACAAGGCATACTTTCCCTGTGAATGTATCCGTCCCAGAGACCAAAGTTAATTCAAAGTTGCCTAGTGAGCACAGAGTGAGAGCAAATGGAGCTGTGATCTGTCGGGATATTTCTGCAAATGAAAATTAACAGATCAAACTGTCCTCCTCTCTGGAGATATTTCTGTCTGAATAACCAGCACTGGACCTCAAATAAATACTGACATATTTTGCTTTTAGCTTTCCTTTTTTCTAGAATCATTTTAGACAGCTGCCCTTCTATTAATACAGCACCACATCAGAAAATAATGCATTTGATTGGATGAAAACTTGAAAATGTTAATTACATCTCTGTCCTGGGGATTCAGCCTAGAGAGACAGAATTGCTTGACTTTCAGGTTGACGCATAGCTGAAGACTGACCCTTGGCATCTCCTAGGTTGTTAAGGAGCTCTCACCCATTAGGCAGGCTGAATGCTGCTGGCCCTGGGCGCTCTCATTCCAGTCTAAAACTCTGATTGGTGAGAGGGTTGCAACTTTAGCTTTTATCTTGAGAGACCTTCATTTTCAGCTAGCTGGGCGAGGTGAGCCTAAACTCGCCTCTCCAGACTTGAAGGCAGATCTTGAGCGGGAAAGAGGGCTCAGTGCTCATATGATAGCAACTTAAGCAATAGTTAAGATTCTTTCTTCTGGGGTATTTGTCTAACCAATATTGTATCACATCCTTCTTCCTGAAAGGAAACCAGTCTGTTTTTCTCCTACTGAAAGCAATGATGTCACAATTAAAAAAAACAAAAAGAGCTTAAAACTACACTAAGAGTTTTGGTACACTTTCAACAGTGAACTCTCCACCACCACTGTTTTTACCTTAATGGAGACATTTGCAAACATGTTTTTCATTGACTTGTTGTTCAGTCGCTCGGTCGTGTCCAACTCTGGGACCCCATGGACTGCAACATGCCAGGCTTCCCTGTCATCCACTATTGGAGTTTGCTCAAATTCATGTCTACTGAGTCAGTGATGCTGTTTATTTATTGCCATTCACTTATCTAGATGTCACTGTATCCTAGATGTCCTAAGAAAAAAGTAAATAACATCAATTAAATGAAGATACTTTATTATCTCACTATATAGCAACATTATATACTTAACTTGAATTTATGGCATAAGCATAGCAGTACCAACAAAGTTAATTCTGTTTAAGAATAGCAGTTGAACTTATTGCATACGGGCATTATTTGTATAAAAGGAAGGAAAAATATAGTCGATAGAAACTAAGAAAGTGAATGTGGTTGATTCAGTGTGTTCTTTGAAGGGAAGATATGGCAAAAGTCAATTTTAAAAAACAATATATTGTATTTTTAAATTTTTATTTACTTATCAATTTATTTATTTTTGGCTGTGTTGGGTCTTTGTTGCTGCTCGAGGGCTTTTATCTAGTTGGGATACGTGGGCTTCCATTTGCGGTATTTTTTCTTGTGGCTCATGGACTCTAGAGCACGGGCTCAGTAGTTGTGGCACACGCGGTTAGTGGCTCTGCAGCTTATGGGATCTTCCTGGACAGGGGCTTGAACTCATGTCCCCTGCATTGGCAGGCAGATTCTTAACCGCTGGACCACCAGCTGCTCCTGCTACTGCTGCTAAGTCACTTCAGTTGTGTCCAACTCTGTGCAACCCCATAGACGGCAGCCCACCAGGCTCCTCCATCCCTGGGATTCTCCAGGCAAGAATACTGGAGTGGGCTGCCACTTCCTTCTCCATGGACCACCAGGGAAGTCCCAAAAATACATATTTTAGATGTTAAGAGAAAATTTTCCACTAGCAATTTATTAATCTAGTAGGCTTTTATTCAGTGATTCATGAACCTGGCGACCTCCAGCCTAGCAGAGAGAAAGGAGCTCTGAAGAGCTGTACAAGACTAGAGGTGTTATGAACCAAAGGGAGCAGGAACAGGAAGTTACACTGGGCGTGTGCTGATTGGCTGAAACAGGGCTGCAAACACATCAGCAGAGGGAAGGCCTAGAGCATCAGGGACCCTTTGCTGAGCAGGCCAGTGCTGCTGGGGTAGCCTGGACCTTCCTTCTCTGGGCGAGCTGAGCACAGAAGCTCAGTTAAGTGCTGGTTTGCTGACTCAGGGGTTAGCAAGAGTGACTCCATCCTGGGCCTCACATGGTGACTTTAACATAGGTTTAATACTAAAGGTAAAAGCTTTCGTAACTGTTTTAAAGCATATTCATGTATTTTAGTCCTTAGCTGTGCTGTCAAATGTACTCAGAAATGTGCACTTCCTAAAGGAATTTCTCCCCTGGAGATAAAGTCAGGAGTCAGCTCTTGGTGGGCTTCTCTGGTGACTCAGCAGTAAAGAATTCGCTTGCAATACAGAAGCTGCAGGAAGCACAGGTTCAATCTCTGGGTCGGGAAGATCCCCTGGAGGAGGGCCTGACAACCCACTGCGGTATTCTGGGTCTGAAAAATCCCATGGACAGAGGAGGCTGGCAGGCTACAGTCCATGGGGTCGCAAAGAGTAGGGCATGACTGAGCAACTCAGCACACAGGCACACTGCCCTTGATGTCATTAAATGCTTGGTCCACCTGTTCTGCTGGAATGGCAGTCCTCTAGTTTAGTGCTTTTATTTTGTCCTGTGAACTGCCTTTCTCCTGGGGCCACTGCCTACTACCAGGCAATGAGTGTGGACGGGGTGAATACAACTGTGTCTGCCTCATGAGTTCAAGGATAGAGGCTGATTGTAAGCCCTTCAATGGGCTCAGCTCAGCACTCCCGCCCCCACAGAACAGCCACAGGTCACAGACTCCACAGGTCCCATGGAGTCCCCAGAGAGGAAGAGGCTGGGGAGGGGACCCTCCCTTTACAACAACTTGCCTGTGGGGCTTGGAACAGGAGGGGTGGAGAGATGACTGGCCAGGTCATCCAGTCTTTTTCCCTAGCTCCTTGCTCAGCCGGGCTTCTGCACTCCCCGCGGTTGTGTTTCTGCTTCACTTGCCCCGAGGTCGGAGCAGCTGCTGGCTGGAAGCAAGCATTGCTTATTCCAAGACAAAGACAGATGAGAAGCAGGAGCAGGATACCAAAGACCCCTTCCTAGTCTGTCCCTCCCGGTCGAGTCCAGATGCTTCTTGCATCAAACGTAAGCCTGGGGACTTCCCTGGCGGTCCAGTATTACGACTTCACCTTCCAATGCAGGGGTGCAGGTTAAATCCCCGGTCAGCGAGCTAAGATCGCACAGTCCTCACGGCCAAAAAAACCAAATCATAAAACACAAGCAATATTGTAACAAATTCAATAAAGACTTTAAAAATGGTCCACATCAAAAATGGAAAGAAAAAACAAAACAAAACACAAGCCTGAGTTAAAAACAGCCACATCCACCCACCACGTGAAACCAGGGGCGTCACTCCATTTTCTCCTCCTCTGATATGTACTCCTGAGGGTCCCTTCAGGATGCCTCTTTAAAGGATTTATCCGTCTTTAGTCCAGTATAAACACATAAAACTTTTGGAAAGTCAAAGATATGTTTGTGGGGATTTTGTGCAGTGTTATTCAGCAGGAAGAGTGGAAACAAGGGCTACTGTCAATGGGATTGTATTAAAACTCAGGAGGTGGCTCTCTTTTCCATCAGTGCCATGACCAGGTGTAAATTACGCTGTCCTCTTTCTTTGTTCCTTCCACAGGGAATTACTGGAATGCGGCCTCTTTCCCAAACCCATCATCCTACCTGCACTTCTCCACTTTCCAAGGGGAGACCAGTGCCGACATCTCCTTCTACTTCAAAACGTTAATCCCCCGGGGCGTGTTTCTTGAAAATCTGGGGAACACAGATTTCATCAAACTCGAACTGAAATGTGAGTATGCATTATTTGNTGTGTATATTTTTTTAGATTCCACCTATAAGTGGTATCGTATGATATTTGTCTTTCTCTACTTACTTCACTTAGTATGATCCTCTCCAAGTTCATGCATGTTGCTGCAAATGGCATTATTCCATCATTCTTTTTATGGCTGAGTAGTATTCTATTGTATATATGTACCATATCTTCTTTATCCATGTCCCTGTCGATTAATATTTAAATTATACCCATATCTCGCCTATAGTAAATAGTGCTGCTATGAATATTGGGATGCATACAGCTTTTCAAATTAGAGCTATATACCCAGGAGTGGGATTGCATGATCATGTAGTAGCTCTATTCTTCATTTTTTAAGGAATATTTTTTAAAAAATATTTTTAAGGAATATTAAAGAACAATATTCCATGTTGTTCTCCATGGTGTCTATGCCAGTTTACTTTTCCACCAATAATGTAGGAGGGTTCCATTTTCCCCGCATTCTCTCCAGCATGTATGACTCATAGACTTTTTAACAATGTCCATTCTGAGTGGTGTGAAGAATGTATTTGTTTTCTAAGGAGACGGGGTTAAAAGTAGATGGAGGATTGGGTAAAGTGAGCGGGAATAAGAAATAAGAGAATTGGGGTAACAACACAAGAAAATAGGAATGATCAGAATTAATATCTGCGGGAGTGGATGAAGCAGCCTAGACAGTGGTACGGTGTTGCTATGCAATCTGGGTCTGCAGCTTTGCAGAAGAGGCTCCATATCCACTCACCTTCTGACGGTTTGAGTCCTGGGTGTTCTCACCCAGGGTGCAGAAATCACCAGAATCCCAGTAAGGGCAGAGGCTGCCTGTCTCAGCTCAGCCCTTTGGATCCCAAAGACCCTCAGAGTCCGTGTGATTTGAGGATGCCACCCGCGGAGGGCACGGAGTCGCTGCATCTGAGCAGGGCAAGTCTCATCATATGGGGGAGCTTTTATCCACGGGCACGGGTGCAGCTTTGGGAATCGGTGTCCACAGACCTCCAGGTCTGGTGCACATTTGCACATGCCCGGCTCCGCTGGCTCTTCAGACCCAGAAACAGCAAGAACCAGGAGGGGGAGCCGCCCCTGTGTGGAATCTCGGCACCCTCCCGCATCAGAGTCCCTCCTCCTGGCCTCTGCTCCGTGTCTGGTCTGAGGATGATCCCAGACGTATTTTCCAGAAATAGCTGATGGTATATTTTCCTCCTTCTGTAGTTACAATTGTGCAATATGGCCTTTGGGAAGGGGACTCTCAGGCGGCCATGTTTCTGCTGAAATCCTATGGGATTCTCTCTGTTAAAGGCTGGACGGTGACGTGGCAGAAGTGCATGGACTCTGGAATTTTCACTCTTAGGTTGAAATCCAGGTCCTCAGGCAAATCACTTAATCTGTTTGAATCCCAATTTCCGAATCTATAAAATGGGGATGGTAATTTGCTGGGGTTATGATGCTAGAATATAGCTACTCATGAAGCATTTATTTCAGTGTCTAGCAGTTACTGTAATTATCATTTTTCTGAGAATGCTCATTACAGATCTAGTATGAGCCAGATCTGGTTGAAAAGAAGACTGAGAATATTCTAGCCCTGGAGTTAAAAAGTAAACAAATAGAAATCATTTATTTTCATGAATTATGGACTAGAATTATTTAAAAGGGATTTCCACTTTCCATAGAAATTAATTGAATCAGAATATTTCCAGACTTACACAAAGTTGGGTTGTGTTTTAGAAATATCTCATGGCACAAAAGGAAAATTGACAATCCCCTATCTGAGTAATTCTATGAGCTTCTATAAAATTACTTGGGTTCACCCTGTCCTGTTTTATATCCCCATGTTTTGTAAACCCAGTCCTGGGTTGGAAATAAGACAAATGAAGTATAGAAAGAGCAGGTATTTCTACTAGAGTACATGCACAGTAGAATTTCACTCATTTTTAATTGCAAAAAACCGCCATAGATGTTTTCAAAGTCTTTCCATGATATGAAAACTCCATGACAGAGGGTGGATTATAGCCTCATTTTGTCATGTGGCTCTTTTCTGTCATCTAGTTTGCTTTTGGTGAAGAAGCGTGAGACTTTCAAGGCACGGATTAGAGGTTGGCCTCTCCTCAGAGTTCTCTAGACCTTCTAATAATTACTGAGGGTAGAATCACCTTTTATAAGGTTCCCTAAATGTTAGAGGTGCCAAAGGCCATCAGTGTATAGCACCTCCATTCCAGTTCAAAGGAACTTTGGAGAGGAATAGGGAGGGAAGGCAGGTTGGTCTGTTTGAGCAAAACTTCTTTAAAGTATACAAGAAGTAGTGCTTCCACGAAGAACATGGAGGAAATGTGGCCATGACTGAGGCTTGCTTCTGCCCCATGCATCATGTTTCTCCAGACTCTTCTGTGCAGGATACGTGGGGTGGTGGGAGAGGTGGACAATTCTTGCAAGCCCCTCTCTCCTTTCCACGGATGAGTCACTGCAAACTTAATGGGTCCCGAAGTCAAACTTTTTAAAGAGTGTCTCTACTTTTTCCCCCCAGAATTTGCTAGACTTTCTAACCTCTTTCTAGTAGGAATTCAAATTTTGCTTCTCTATGGGTATCTCAAAGGAGTTTTGTCACAGTTCATGTCTACACAGTGGTTTCTGGAATAACATTTCCATTAACTAATGACATTGTGGCCTTCTGTTGGAAATGGAAAATTCTTGACTTTAAGAACAGTGAGGCAGGGGCTTCCCTGGTGGCTCAGTGATAGAGTCTGCCTGCCAATGCAGGAGACTCAGGTTCGATCCCTGATCCAGGAGGGTCCCACATGCCTCAGGGCAGCCAAGCCCAAGCACGAGAACTTTTGAGCCTGTGCTCTAGAGCTCAAGAACCCCAACTTCTGAAGCCCCTGAGCCCTGGAGGCCATGCTCCGCAACAAGAGAAACCACTGCAGCGAGAAGCCTGCGCCCTGCAACTAGAGAATAGCCCCCGCTCACCCCAACTTGAGAAAAGCCCGTGCAGCAGTGAAGACTCAGCACAGCCAAAAATTCAAAGCGAAGCAGTGAGTCAGTTGCACTAACTTAATGAGACACCATCAGCATCTTAATGTGCAAGTAAAAAAGCCCACGTGGTAAAGTTAGACTGATGTTACTCACTAGCATGCTCTATAGGTAAGAATTTAAGGCTGTGTTTCACTTCTTTACTGTCTATATTTTTTTTTCATTCTTTCAGTGGGTATTCACTGAGTCCCGACCATGTCTCAGATGCTATGCTAGGTCAAACGTCGTTAAGTCAAGCATGGTGTCTTTCCCTCCAAAGATCTTTCTGTTTTTGGAAAGCAGCCAAGTCAATCAGCAAATTTGATAATAAAAATAGCTCAGCTTTGTTCAGACTCTGTCTCCAGCACTTTTTCCAGGGACTTCACAGAGAGCATCTCACTTACTTCCCTAACCACCCTTTGGACTGGAGCACCACCATTCGCAGCTCTGTTTTTCAAATGAGGAAACCGAGGCACAGGGTAAAAGTTGCCTGGTCACGGTCACACAGAGGGGATATGACAGAGCTGGCGCTTAACCCCAAACATTTTTTGTCTATCCTGAGTCTGTTGCTGTTAACACCAAACCTCACCACCTCCCGGAACAGACATTGAGAGAGATGGCTGAGAGCACCGAGGGGGCATTTAAACCCGACTGGAGTGACAGGTGCTTCCCAGGGAATGTGATGCTTTAATTACATTGTCATGGATGAGCAGGAGGCAGGAAGGGGAGGCAGGTGGGGGCAGAAGGAAGATCTGGAAAGGAAAAATGTTACTAAAAGGAGAACACCTGTCCGTGAAGGTGGGGGGGTTGAACCCAAGGACTCCAAGGGGAGCAGTTCAGCAGAGAACCCAGTGTGCTGGGAGCAGCAGGGCTGCAGCTGGACGACCAGGCAGTGGTGACAGCACTGAATGTGTGCTGGCCTGGGGTGGAGATGGCTTGCCTCAACCCTGAAAGTTATGGTGAGCGGGGCCATAATCCGATCAGATTTGTGTTCACCAGAGGAAAGATGGAAAAGCCAGAGAAGAAGCAGCAGGGACCGCTGTGAAGATGGTGCAGAGTGAACGGGAGCTGGGGAAGGTGACAAGGAAGGATCCTAGAGGAGAGAGCTGCGTAGGACAGAGATTCCACAGGTTCTGAGAGAGTGGTTGTGAGAGGGAAGTGGGAGGGAAGGTTCTAGAATGAAGCCAACATTTGGTTGGGATGGTGTGGACGATTATGTGGGTAGAACACCTTTTACTAGGGATGACGGCATTGGAGAGCAAAATGAAAACTGCCTTTGGATGTTCTGAGTTTGAGGGCCCACAGGACCAAAGAATGTCTCTCCAAGTGGACACACGCAGAAGGTGCTGTATACACAAGTCTGAAGCCCAACAGAGCACTCTGAGTTACAAGCATGCAATGTGAGCAGCAGCATCACTTAGAGAATCCTCAGGAAATAAGTGTGGGCGCCTCAGCATGGGTGAGATTACCCAGAACAAGTGTGCAGAGAGAGGATACCAGATGTCCAAGGGTGAAAACCACACTTCAAAAATAGAAGGAAGAAAGGGAGCTTGTAGAAGCCTGGCAGAGCAGTGGGAAGACGGTGATATCCCAGGGATCAAACATAGAAAGAATTTCAAGAACAAAAAAGTGCCTGATGCCACTGAACTGAGAGATCACGAAAGAAAGAACATAAAGGGCTCTTCAACTTTCA